TTTTTCAAGAAGACGGCGGCGATTCCGCAGCCCCATGAGTCTCTCTAATCCAATTTTACATACCCAGCAAGTAGCCTTACAGTATTCAAAAGGAATTGGCCGCCATGCCAAAAGCGTCGCTTTTTCGTAATTTGACTGCACTACTTAATAACAAAATTTACAACTGGGAAATGTAAACCAAGTTATTACCACAAACCTATTTTTTTTATTTGCTTTTACATACTACACAAATGTTTTGAAATTAAAATTTGTTGCTGGTTGTCTGCTCTTTTGATAACAGTCGCAAAACCAAGCTGCGTGCAGTTGACAGTTGATATACATACTTTGATGGTGTTGTTGCTGTAGCGAAAAGCTGCAATTGTGTGATAATTGAATTTTGTTCTGAGGGTCAATTCCCGTTCTGCGTTATCGTGAATTGATAAAAATAACACCTTCACACCGCAATTATTTCGGTGTTAATTTTATACTTTTCACTTCATTTCACGATAACGCAGAATGGGAATTGACCCTCTGGCCACGTTAAATGTGTTGAACACTTTAAAATGAATTCGTGTCATCATAAAATGAAAATATTAAGTACACTAACACAGTCTATCAAGGGCAATGTAGGCGAGTGATGTGCATTAGGGTTGTATCTAACCGGTAATGGAAATTAAATTCCCACATTGCTGTACCTCTACGTATTTCGATATAATATGATAATGCTAAAATCTGCATAAAAAAGCATATTATACTAAATACGGATTTGTGTATCCAACTTTAATTTTGTTTTATACTTTTATTTCCTTTATTAAATTGTTGTATATCATTTGATATTTTTAATCGACTTCAAAAAAGGAGGAGGTAATCAATTTTTTTTTGTGTTACCGCATAACTTTGGTTAACACGTTAGCCGATTTCTAGAATTCATTATAATTTTTTTTTTAAGGAAAGGTGGTCCCGTATGAATTTGGTTTAGATCCGATCATTACATCATGAAGAAATTAACGGTACTCTTAAATTTGTATATGAGAATTGAAGTCGGTTTTAATTTTTGCTGAAAAATTACTTGTTTTCTTTACTTTATTAACTCCCATCACTATTATTTTTTATCAGCCAGTTAATCGATATTTTATGAGCATTTTTTCTATAAAATATAATTTTTTTATTCAAATACACACTAAGTAAGTATGTATATTTTCAAATCTTTAGATTGTGCAAACGTTAGTCGGTTTACGCCAGGCTTAAAACTAGTCTATTTAACTTTTTCCTAGCCACACCCGCAATTAATTAAACCCCGAGAAATAATAATGCCTTTAACTAAAAAATATACAAATTACCTCTTACACTTTCTTTTTAGAATCTCTGAGAATCCACGCGAATATAAAAAAATTTGGATTGATGGCGGCATACACGCACGCGAATGGATCAGTCCGGCCACCGTCACATACATACTCTATCAGCTTATGTCAAACTGGAAAGATCAACCTGCCTACTTCAAGGAACGCACCTGGTATTTTATGCCCGTTATGAACCCAGATGGCTACGTTTACAGTCGAAGAGTAAATCGATTGTGGCGCAAAAATCGTTCACCTTCGCCATCTTCGAACTGTGTAGGCGTTGATTTGAATCGTAATTTCAATATAAACTGGAATGGTCGCGGCTCATCATCAAATCCCTGCAGCGATACATATCGCGGCAAATCACCAGGCTCTGAGCTGGAAACGCAAGCGGTCACGAGTTTCCTTTTAAAACGTAAAAATAATCTAACTGCATATCTGACTTTTCATAGCTACGGTCAACTGATAGTCTATCCGTGGGCATATAAGGCGGCCAAGGTTAAAGACGCTTCCTTGCTGGAAAGCGTTGGTAAAACGGTAGTAGAGCGCATACGCGAGGCGACGGGCGCTGCTTATCGCGCAGGTGTGACGCATTCCTTGTTGGGCATTGCCGGTGGCGGTTCGGATGATTGGGCACGTGCAGCTTGTGGCACTAAATTCGTCTATACGGTCGAGTTGCGCGACAAGGGCCAAAATGGTTTTGAACTATTGCCATCACTGATAGGCGTTACTGCCAAAGAGGGCATGATTGCTGTTGAGACGGTGGCTCAGGCCATCGGTTAAGAATTATACTTACTACTTTTATTTAATTTATATTTGTATATTTGTAGGTGAGTGATCGAGTGTGTATGAAACTTTCAAAAGCAGGGTTTGAAAAACTGTCAGCAAAGCAGCAACAGCATTACTATTTTTGCTTTTGCTTAGCTTTGAAATTTTCGATTTTGATTCGAACTGCTTTGCTTTTGCTGTGACTTTGAAAAGTTTATTCTGTTTTTTTATCGGCAGTTTATTTAAACAATTTTATTGCTTTTGATTTGCTGTGATAGTGCTTTTGCTGTGCTGTTATCTGCTTTTCTGTGTTGTGCACATGACGCTTTTGCAGCATGGTATATACATATTAGTTCCGTTCCCCAACTTTTATGCGTTAAAACCAGTAAAACTATCAAAAGGCAAAATAAGCCAGAGAACCGAGTACGGGAACGCTTTCTGGTAAATTCCTGTAATTTCTTGCAACTTCTTGCGAGTTAGGGAACGCAACTATTAACTCCGCGATCAATGCAAAGTTTATCAGGGTAAGCGACTAGTGGATTTGCGCACGCATACATATAATATCCTCTGTTTCTGCCAATTCGATGTTTCGCAGCAAATTTATAGTCAAATTGATGTTGATTTGCTGCTGCTGCGCTGTCTTTGTGCTTCCACAAATTGCTTTCGAAATTTCATAGCAAAACGGCAGCCAAAGCATTTGTTTTTTTCTGAATTGCTTTTGCTTTGCTTTCGATATCATACATGCCGAAGTCAAAGTACAGCAAAAGCAAATTAAATAAAAATATTACAGCATTTTCAAACCCTGTATGAAAGTATTAGAATTAAGTTTGCATAAGTATGTTCTGTAAAAAATATATATGTATATATATACATACATATGTACATATGAATATAGTTTATATGTACAACAATTTTAAGCAAAAGCTGGATACATAGATACAAATGTATGTACTTGTGTACCATGCAGTTGCATCTAGAAATTAATAAAACAAAAATTAAGAAATTTACATACATACGTAGATGTTGTTAATAAGTGCTAAGGGTCGTTAACTTATCCTTTTTTAAGTATAGCTATATCAATTCCATAGAAACTTCTGTAGTAAAGTTTAACTATTGATTTAAGTATATACTTTAAAATAGATAAGTTAACGATCGTAAGTGTAATAAATAATATCACCGTCCGATACGATTTTCCGCCCATGAAAAAAATCAAGCATTTCGGAAAGGAGAGACAAAAAAATAGTACCCGTAGATCAAGTCATTTACGGTTTCTATGGGGAAAAAACAACCCTTAAAATCCCTATGCTGAATGGGTCAGTAGCAAATTGCCTATAGTTTCCTCTCTTTAATGATTTCTGCTCTCGAAAAAGTAAATAGTTTATTACTGAAAATATCAAGATTACCGACAACAAGTAATTTTTAGCAAAAAAAAACCGACTTCAACTCCCATATAGAAAAAAAATAATATATATATATATATCTCATGATCCACTGATTAGATCTCAACCAGATTAGTATGGGACCACCTCTGAGACACTACCTTTCCGATGCAAAAAGAATTATTGAAATCGGTTGACGTGGTACAAAGTTATGCGGTAACATACATAAAAAAATAAAAAATATTCCGACGAACTGATAACCTCCTCCTTTTTTGGAAGTCGGTTAATAATTAATTGCCACTTTAGCTTTACGATAAGTTACAGCTTAAAAGAAACAGCGAATAGACTGCTAAAGTAGCTGTTAGACGTGGCAAGTGCAAGTAGTTTTGAAAAGTCTGTCAAACTCCAGAATTTTGCAATGGGTAGGTAGTGTCTCAGAGGTGGTCCCATACTAATTTGGTTTAGATCCGATCATTGGATCATGAAATATATAGATATATATATATTTTTTTTTAAGTCGGTTTTTTTTTACTAAAAATTACTTGTATACATTTGTTAATGTAATAAAAATACTATCAAAATCAATTAAACTCTGATTAATATAAATCTAAAACCAGCTGTTTCACATTTTCTATCGATTTGAGTATGTTCGTTTCAAAAACATGACATCATTACATAAATATTACTCCAAAGCTTGTATGACATCTTACAGTAGTTTGGTTGGAACGATAGTGCAGCATTTAATTTCATAGGTACATAATTTATTAGTACATATCGCCACCTGAGTGGAAGATCGACCTATCTCGGCAGCCAGTTCGAAAACGCCTTATCTCAGCTAAAAATACATTGAAAATGTGCTGAAAAAGGGCGTTTTTGAATCGGAAACTGAGATGGGGCGTTCTTCAACCAAATTCTGAGATAGAGCGTTTTCGAATCAAATTCTGAAGTAGGCCGTTCTTGAAAAGTTTTCTGAGATACGTCGTTTTCGAACTGGCTGCAGAGATAGGTAACGATATATAAAGTCTTTAAATTATGTCGCCAAGAGAACTAAACTAAAACTACCAAAAACATAATATCGAGCAAAATTTTTTACATTCCCAATTCGGTTTGAAGTAAAAACAAGTAAGAAAGGCTAAGTTCGGGCGGAGCCGAACATTAAATACCCGGCGCAAGTATTAAATATATGTTTTTTCACCCTTCCGAAACCTTCCGCTAGATGGTAAGCCGAG